AGAGAAAAACATGTCCCGTAAACACATTATAATGGTGCTCCAACATCACTGGGAATGATGTCCAACAGCATACAGTAGATTCCACATTAAAAGGATTCTTCCCCCCCACCCACATCTCCAACATTCGGTGCTACTTTTGTTTCTGTCCTACGACATTCTTAGAAATAAGCAAATTCAGAAAGTTCTGTGCTCTGCTTACAGCTGGGTGCTATCTTTTGTGTTCACTCTGTGCAGCAGTCAGGGTGGGTGGGATGCAATCAAGCACCAGCTGAGCACTCCCACCCATGGGCGTAGCCAGGATTTTTGTTTGGGGGGGTGCAGGCCTTTTGTTAGGGGGGCAGAACTGAAGTGATTGGTAAATTAGTTAAGTATTTCTATTGTTTTACTTGATCTCTCCCCCCCCCCGGCTACTCCCCTGCTCCCACCCACCCAAAACATCAGCACATAACTTAACGGGTGCTTCACTTGGGCTGGAATAGACTGCAGTGAAAACGGCCACCATACAAGCAGGCTTAGCATGACATTCCCACAGCCCCCACAGCAGTTAGGGATGCAGATGGAGCAATAACGACAGGTGGGCATCAGTGTTCAGATGGGTGACAGTCTTGCAGACTGGAAAATAGACACACCTCAATAATATTCCAGGGCACAATATATTGAGGAGTCTTGTGGGTCAGAGATGCTACAGAATCTTTCAAAGTTTGCTGAAAAGACAGTGTTGCCTATCATGGCAGAAGTGCTTCAGCAATAATGAAGTGTAACGGCAGCAATAGCAGCAATAGCAGTGCCCTGATACAGTGGTTTGCTGTATGTATGAGAGGCCCCAGTGTACACATGATGGTCACCAGTTTTCTTCATGGAAGAAAGTGTGGAAGTCCATTTACTCTGTTGCTTCATGTGTGCTTCAGGGCTCTGGATTTGGTGCAAGCCTGAAAAAAACACACACATTGCGGCAAATAAAATATTGATAGACTAATGACAGCATAAAGTGGAGAGTCAAAATGTGAAGCATTTGACTTCTGGTTGAGGTCCAGAAATAGCTTTCTGACGCAAAAATCTAAAAGGAAATCTTTAGGAGAAAGAGGAATGTTCTAGTTTCACAAAGGAGTAGCCAAATAAGAGTTGGTAATTGATAAATCTGGAGGCACAAACATACATTAAAAAAAGGAAAATCCATGAACCATTAGGCTTAACAGACTAACCATACTGTGAAAAAGTATCATCTTCATACACTGAGGATGTAAGGGAATGTTAAGGATGCATTCCTTGAATTTTCAGACGTTATTAGTGAAATAACACAGCAAGGTGAATTACACTGAGATATTTTTCTAACCATTCCAGCAATCTTGGTCCAAGTTGTCATAGGGCTGGATAAGTCATGAACTTTCGACCGAAGCTCAGATTGCTGGGAGACACATCCTCCTTGTTAGTTTCGGATGACAGTTCAGTGCACTAGAGAGATCCACTTGTGTATAAAGAGGAGGAGAGACGGAGGAAGATTTAGCACTGCATTTTCACAGGGGCAAGAAATTCCATCCATCTCAAATGTGTTTTGGCATGCAGCCCAGCTCCTTGTCAAGCACATGACCATCGCTTTGCCTCCTATTTCTGGCCTGGATTTAGATCTTGGTGGCTGAGCAAGCCACGTTAGAGGTTAAAATTAGGCAGCCGAAACTGCAACACCACACACTTCTCTCCAACAAAGGGAAGGCCCATTTGGAAAACCCAGAAAAAGGACAAGGGGCTTTGAGATTGAATGTCAGCCCTGTGTGCAGTTTCTCTATTTGCTCAGAAGCGTAAGAAAAACTACCTGGGCTCCCTTTTGTTTTGATGTCTAGTTTTTAAAAACTCGCTATTCAATTTATATCCTGCCGTGCTTCCCAAAGGAGCCCAAGGCAATGAAGACTGTGACAAGGGTGACTAACTTTCAGGGGCGATGACAGGACCAGCAGAAGCTGCCTTACCCAAAGTCATTTAGCCAGTCTGGTTTAGCGTAGTGTTGTCTGCACCATCAGCCCAGACCATTGGTCATGATGGCTGCGACTGATGGGAGTTGGAGTCCAAAACCCTTGGAGAATTCAAGTTGGGAAAGAGCCAGTCTGCATTGGCTAACATAAATTTCAGAAAATACTAACAGTGATTCCAATCATTCAAATCCATTAGGCAGCACTTGAGCCATCTATTTATTTCAACTAGCAAAGATCTATGCACAATTGCACTTTATATGCATGTTGGTGTTTACAGCTTTGATTATTTTCCATGTGAAATCCTTATTATTAAGCCATTGTGGAAATCTGTGCAGCAGTTAATAAAAATCTACATTTTAGTGATGATTTGCCCATTATCACATCCATCTTCCCTGCGTGGAATCCTTGTCAAAACCAAATGAGCTCATTCAGTTTGACATGACCATGCATCTTTGACTGTATGTTAGAGACACAAATGTCATCTATATACAGCAGCTACTCACGTATCTCTTTTGGCTGACATTATTGATGTTTCTTATAACTGGTCCTGAGTGTTGGCTAATAGCTACTGCTATGGCTCTGAAAACAAATCACAGAGGATTGCAGCCAGAGCTGGCTTTACCACTAGGCAGTTGCAGGCTTTGTAGAGTACAGAACCTTTGCTGCAGCAAGAGACAGTTTTCCTTTCCAATGTATTTCTCTTGCTCTGGAACAGCAGGTGAAGGTAAAAGTGAAGCTCTGTTGATGCGAAGGAGCAGTGAAACTGGCAAATCAATCTTGGGATGAGCATTTATCTGTATCTCCTCCTCCTTCAAAATCTGATCTGTTCTGAGTTGCCCGGAGTTCTCTCTGATTGGATGTGTGCTCTGGATCCCAATTCACTCTGTATAAAATGAATGTTTCCTGTTCACTCTAATGGAGAATCTAAAAATGGCTATAATTCTGCAGCTTTGACCTATGCAGATGAAATTTACAGGCATATGAGTACCTCTAGAGTATACTAAACAAAACCACAGTGGCAGTAACAGAGAGCAGGCATGGCACCCAGTGATCCGGAAAGGCTGTGTGTGACATCATATCCCCTTACCTCATGAGAATTATTTAACACATGCTACTCAAGTGCAATGGAGCACATCAGGTATTACAAAATGACGCTTGATTTCCCCTTTCTGCCCATACATCCTAGCATATTTCATTATTCTATTCAAAAGCTGCACAAGTCACAAGATAAATTTAAATTATGTAAAAGAGGATCAGAGTCAGTTCCACATACCATTTAGCATCCAAATAAGTCAGACGTAGAAAGAAGGAAAAACTATGGCTGCGTTTATAGAAGAAATCTGCAGTGGTGCGAAAGCCCTGCAGGACTGGCAAGAAAAGAGCATAGTGTCTCCCTTTGTAGTCAATGTATTTTAACTCTGACCATGTTATATTATCAGAAGAAAAAAGTCTTTTTTGTCTCCCTAGTTCAAGACTATGCTGGGACTGAGCCTGGTCACTCTGCAATTGGGGGCATAGAGCAGAGCTAACTATTCTTTGCTTTGGAACTTGATGTCTGCTGTAGTTGGACGGATGGTTGCCAGAGCAGAAAACCTAAGAAGACATCCCAGATCTAGCAAGTGTTTGTTTTGGTTGATGGTCCTACTGAGGTTTCACACTGCTTCCTCCTGTGTCGTTTTTGCTGCATTAGCAGCACCGAAGTGACTTCCCTGGGGCACAAGCCTGGGCAGTGTGCATGGAGGTCCTGGGCTGCCCAGACAATAAGACCCACCTCTTGGCCTCACTAATGTGTTCCAAGGGAAAGCAAAGCAGTATGTTTGGCACCTTGAATAATTATATACACCTCTATCATACTTCTCAAAGCACACCAAACTCCACCTATGACTCACTGCAGCAGGAGCTCAAAAGACAATCCCCTCCCAGGAGCTGAAATTGAACAACAGCATCCCCTGGCATACGCAACAGCACCATACTTTCCCTGATGAATGTTTGTCCTTTAAAAACACTCCTTTGTCCTTTAAAAACCAGGAAGGTGATTTTGAGAGGAATCATAGCCTATGGTGGATTGGTTAACATCTCTCCCTCACCTGTCATTCCTTTGCTCTTGTTTGTAGTCTCATGCATTTACTTTCTATTAGTTGGGAGAGTCAAACAGGTCTCTTGGGAATATTGAATTTGGCCTTGAACTTGCATGCTGAGGGCAATCTTTCTTTCTGACATGTGCAGGGATTTTTACACCTTTGTGGAAGCTGCCATTGTAGAGAATCAGGGGGAAAGTGCACTTAGGATGGGGATAGAATCAGAATAGGGAAGAAGAATGTGGGAGCTTGTTTTGGGGAGTTAGAGCTGTGTCTGGAGTCCATTATATAGGGCCATCTATCCATCCATCCTTCTCTTCATATACATTTCACAGCAATGTTCAAAAATGCAAGACAAAGAATTAATGGTCATAGCTATCATCTTCCAGCACCTTCATAAGAAGAACTGTAGAAGCTAAGAAGAGAGAAAGCATTCTAAAATGACTTTGGATTCGGTCCACATTTTCTCCTGCCAACCAAACGTGTCTCACTTTCACCAGCCGTTTAAAGGATTTCTAGGAAAGTATGTTTCAGTTTTTCCTCTTGTTGCCATAAATAAATTTGCCTTATTTTTTCTGTCTGCCTCTTGTAAACATCAATGTCGAAAAGATGTGCTACCTATAAAAAAAACCAAATGGCTGCCCCCAAAATGTAGCTGCACTAACCCTATTGCATGTAACAAGAGACCTGGGGTTCAGCCATACTGTCATATAACATGGATAATAAGCTTCCAGCGTCTCCATCAATTCTCCTCTCTGTCCATTTGAGGTTCTCTTCCAAATTGCTGCCTCCCAACACTTTCCCTTCCTTCAATTCAGATTGTCTCATACCAGGGTGCTCTGAAAAGGAGAGGGCATGAAAAAATCCAGACTGAGGGAGGGGAAAGTCTGGGAATGCAGGGATTTTGAGAAGATCGAATGAGTAGAAATCCAGTCAAACCTACTGGATATAAGGTGGGGACTATAGCACTGTGATAGAGTATTTGCTTTCTATGCAGAATGTCCCAGGTTCAGTCCCTAGTATCTCCAGTTACTGCTTGGAAATATTCCCTCCTGAAATGTTGAAGAGCTTCTGCCTGTCAGTGCTGACTAGATGGGCCAATGGTCTGACTCGGTATAAGGCAGCTTCCTATGTTTCTATCTGATTGTACCACCTCAACAGTGGTAGGAACGATAATGCTTCAGCATCTTGTAATAGCTGCCATTTTATTTTCCCAGAATGCATGTGGTCTTGTCCCCATCCTCCTCCCTGCTGATGAGTCCTACAAAGGCAACCCTTAGACTAAGGAGGCAGAGGCTGACAGTCCAAGCCATCCCCTGGCTGCAGTAAGGAAGGAGGCAGCCAGATGAGAGCTGGCTGTGGGCTAGATGGGCTTTGTGGGCCCATCCATCTTAAAGGACCAGCTACCACCAGTGCTCATGGATAATTCATTGTCTGAAACAACAAAGAATCTTTTTATAGAAAAAGAGGCGCCAGAACTCACCATGAATCTGATTCTCTTATAATGGCAATGGTGCCCATCTGAGAGGTGCTGGAACTGATTTCCGGTGAGTTCTGGCTGAAAAGAAGCCCTGCTTATAAAAATTTTTACGCCACGATCGTTCACAGACTGGAATCCATTCTAGTCCATGACTCTTGCCATTGTTTTTGCTGACACAAACTTACCTGGTTACACCCTCTGGTCGTCTGAGACATACATTTCAGTGCAGTGCTCATGGTAAGAAAATGTCTGCCATGGCCTGCTGGACTGCCAGATATTCTGACGAGGAATGCTTCAAGTGACAGGTAAGCAATTGGCATTGTTCAGACCAGGCCACATAAACAAACAAAATTAGGCAGGGCCTTGCGCACAGTAGCCATGTGAGCTCCCTGTTAACTGTCCCCATTGTATATCACCTCAACATGTTTTGCTCACTGCTTTAGGTTTCATCTTGTCGTAAAGTTAAAGGGTGGCTCTTTAACGACCTCTTTCCACCTGCTTTTTGAGCATAAACGGAACACATGTAATTTCACACAGCTTAATTCGAGCGATAAGCTAAATCGCCTCTGCTTACAACCAGTACTTAGCGCTCAGCTTTTCACTGGGAAAGTGAAAGCAGATGTGATGTTACTAAAAGAATAAAGTGAGATGCTGTCAGTGTGCGCCATTTGTCTCACTGAAGTGCTGCTACTGGTGCCTCTTTAGACTTCAGCTGTTTTGATCTGGATGAAGACCAGAAAATAATCAAGGAGCACAGGATCTTAATTCAGCATGGCTTTTCTCTGGCAGAATTATAATGCTATTGATAATTAAGTGCGGGTGGAATCAAAATCCAGGCTGCAGTTCTATGCATGCTTACCAAGCAGTAATGCCCATCAAACTCAGTGAGGTTTACTTCTGAGTAGATCCATAGCACTGTTAAGCACAGAAAACAGTTTTCAATATCTGTATTTCTCTTTTGGTTCCCATTAGAGTAGCATGGGTAAGAATCATAGTGAAATCCACTTCTGGGGAATATGCTAATTCTCAGATGCTGATGTTTAATCCCTCTCCACATGATTCATCACTGAGAATGTATGGGAAAAAGAACACAACCCACGTTTAAAATTGACATAGAGCAGTATTGCCAGTTTGGGGTCCTCCAGATGTTTGGGGACTGCAGCTCCCAGAAGCACCAGCTTATTTTCCTTCATATAAAAGTCTTCAAGGCCCACTGATTAATTTTGTTTGCCTCCCTGTCATACACCTTGTATGGTCACTATGAAGGAACTGTCACTTGGAGACTTTGTAGGAAACTGATGGCAAACATGAAGTTGTCCAAGGATGGGTGGGGGAAAAGCAAGAATGATGGGACTCTCTATTTTTATGTTATTCCATGCCCTCCACAGCATCCCATTATGTTATGTCATACTGCCACGGCAGTCATTTTGTGTCCACACTCTATCAAAATTCAAAATGTGCTCACTGGTCCAAAAAGGTTGGCAAACCTTGTTCTAGAGTCCTACCGTATGGTACATTGCTACCTGGTAGGTTTTAAGTAGATCAGTCTCTGGTCAGCACTTGGAGCGGAGACCCTACTTGGGAACCATATGTAGGCCTCCTTGGGTTTCATGATGGAAGAAAGGCAGAATATAAATGCAGGACAATCAGACAATCAATCAATCAATCAATCAATCAATCAATCAATGTTCAGACTATAGTGATTACTCAGTCAATTGGTGACCCATTTTTAGTCATCCTTAACTAAACAATTGACTGACCAAAGCTTGTAGCATTTTGTCAATCCTCCCCTGGCATAACTCCACCAATTAAATGGAATGTCAAAACACTGGATTTTGGAGCTGATGAGAACACAACTTCCTTCTGGGCCTGCCTCCCTGGCCTGACTGGCAAAAAGGAGGCACCTTCAGATGTTTACGAAGCAGCTCGTAGATCAGCTTGCAGAGGAGGGATATTGCACCACAGTTCAGCTGGGAGAAACATGTTTCAAAGATCTGAGGCGGGTGTTTGGGGAGGTCAAGGGTAGAGAGCTTTTGGAGTCTACTGGGAATTGCTTTCTTTAGCCTGGTCGTGTTAACGCCCTACTTGTATGGGCTGAGTCTAGAGAAGGGATTAATTGCCAGCTTAAAAATTGATCTCTTAACTTTGCCTTTAAAAAAAGAACACAATAAAAGGAGCCTTCTTTAAAAATAGGCAGCTGTCGGTGAGGCAATCGGACTGAGGAGAGAGTGAGTATATGGAACAGAGTGGCATTTGCAGAGACACAGGACTTCTTTCATAGCGTCGAGCCGGTGGTGGTGACAGAGCCATCTGTCCCGTCTTTTTGCCCTTCCCTGTCTGCCATCAATTTCCTACAAAGTCTCCAAGTGACAGCTCCCTCATAGTGACCATACTTGGAAACAAGGTGTATGACAGGGAGGCAAACAAGATTAATCAATGGACCTTGAAGTCTTTTGCAGAAAGGAAGAAAGATAGTGAAACTGGCACTGGGGGAACCATTAGGGCAAGGAGGAGGTGGCAGCGGGACCCTCCCAAAGTGCTGATTCCAACATTAAGTATTCCTTTTGGTATTTTGGTATTGAGGAATACTTTTTGTGTGTGTGCCACGAGCCACAAACAAGCCTATGCATCTGCAGCAGCAGCTGGTGGAAAAGAAGGAGAGGTGAGTGGGCTGCTGTTCACAAGGAAGGTTGCAATTTGACGAAAGTGAGCTTGGGACACATCCATTCTGCATGCACCCAAAGTCCCCCAAAGCATACTAGGAACTACACATTAAACACATGCACCCACGAACACACAAATAAATGCATGAAGTGCTTGGATATCTCAGCTGGTTAGAGTGTGGTGCTGATAACCCCAAGGTTGCAGGTTCGATCCCTGTATGGGACAGCTGCATAGGCCTGCATTGCAGGGGGTTGGACTAGATGATTCTCAGGGTCCCATCCAACTCTACAATTCTATGTTTCTGTATCCCTGTCCAAGATGTCTACAGGAAACATGCTTCCTTAGGGAATCCCTTCCTTAGGTATCTTGCTACCACAGTGTGTGGAAATGGTCACTAGGTGATGCCTATTAAATGAGGGGCGAGAAACATGTGGTCTCCCAGGTGTGTTGGACTTCAGCTCCCGTCAGTCTCAGCCAGAACAGGGAATGGCGAGAGATTATGGGGGCCATAGAACCAGCAACATCCAGAGGACCATGTTTTCTTTAAAAACTGAGTGCCAGATGCTGGCAACACTCAGTCCCATTTATAGGCTTCCAGTGTTGTGGCAGATGAAGCTTTGGTCTGTTTCAGCAGGACTTTTCTTGTTTTCTTACATCCACTTCATAAAAGGTATTCTCTTGATCTGTTGCTTAGCAGCCACTCTGCTTAAAAAAAACAAATAACCACATTTAAAGCTATTTTTATGCAGTTTATGTAAAAATATATATAAAATACAACAATAAGCAAGATCCACTCAATGTTAAGCACTTGGAAATCCAATTCATTTCAGCAGGAAGATCTGAGCATGTGCTCTTTTTGAAATCAACAGAACCTAAGAATGCTTAATTTAAGCTTGGCAATGCCCTAAAAAATTACAGTGAAATTTGAGTAGGCGGGCCATTTCATTGGAGTAGGCTGAGGTACAAGGTACAGATCACATGGGTAGAGTCTCTCTGTGTATGTGCTTGTGCAGCCTCTGTTCAGAAGATCAGATGACTGCGCAAACTATCTGGTGATGGATGCCTGTGGTAGGGACAGTTGACATGATCCTGGCATTCCCTCCACATGGTCACATTGGTAATCTACATAGGGATGATAACTTTATGCTGAATTGATATATGGACTATGATTTCTCTCCCACCCTCTGCAATATCAGGCAGGCAGGCTGGCAGGCAGACAAACACACCAACATGATAGACTTCATTTTCATGGCAAAAAACAAAAAAACAAAAACACAACCATTGGGAGAAACAGGTATTGGACAATTTATGACAATTTGATCACATGCTAGTGCTCTCGGAAAAGGCATGGTGGTTGGCAGTAGCTTGTAGACATTCCACAGATGCCTTATGGGCATATGACATCTTGGTAACTTTAAATTCAGACTAGGGGATCAGAATCACACTTCAATATACAAGCTATTACCTTAGGTCAATGAAGCATGACTAGTATAAATAAAATTATTTCTTAAATTGGTTCTGATGGGATATTTTGTTGGGTTTTATTAACAAACTGTGCACTGAAGATCAGTCCATGAAACAATGTCTTCCAAATGGTCACTCTTCTGCCTGACCATCCTTGCTCAAATCAGGAATTATCCTTGCAAGCCACCTGATGTAATTGAAAACGGATCTTCATCTGGCTTTCTTGGACACTTCCCTGGGTAGATTTATCATATCACTCAGTTAGGACTTTGGGTGTGGGACACACACATTACAGGCTTGGTGAGCATGCTTCTTATGAGGACTACTGTACAACCCATATCGACTTCCAGGTGCTCAGTGGAGGAAGGGTGGGAATACAAATTTGATCCATTGATCCAGGATTTGCCAACCTGCTGCCCT